CCTTTAGCTTAGCGGTGGTGACGTGAATTCATGTGACCGTGCTGTAGTTCCTTCATAGCCCAACATTAGCCTCCTTTAACTTATCATTGAAGACTTATTATATTATTTAATACTTAAACATTTATGTTCTTGCTGTTTGTATTGTTTATAGAAAATGTATTCTTAGTTACTGTTGTTATTAAAGTAGTTTCTATGCTTTAATTTTGAAGGCATGTTTGGGCACCTGGTGTAATTGTATTTATTGGACACAGGTGGACGAGTAGAGCACCAGGAGGAACATGTTTTTTTACCAGCGTGATTCAAGCCACAAGAAAGCCGTAGGAAAGACTAAAGGAAAGAAACATGGGAAACCTGTTCTTAGTATTTGACATTTGATGGAATAAAATGCACAAACAGAGATTCTTGTACTTGAACTTGGATCATTGCCCTGCGTCAGATTCACTGACTGGTGCCTCAGCATCCGTGTAATTTTAAGTTATTATCTGTTTTATTTCTATATGATTTTGGCCGCTACAATAGCTATATGCTCCTTTTGACCCCACCTGTCCCTGTGTCCTGCCCCCTGCAGCTGAAGGCCCCGGTCTACCTGAACAGCTTTGTGTCCATCGCCCTGCTGCCTCGACACGGTGCCTCCATCTCTGAGGGCAGCATGTGCCGGGTGTCGGGGTGGGGGTACACCAGCCCCAGCGGGGGGCAGATCCCCTCCACGCTGCGCACCGTCAGGCTGCCCATCGTCTCCTCACTGACCTGCAACAGCAGCCAGTCGTTCAACGGCAGGATCACGGAGAACATGCTCTGTGCCGGGTTCAGCATCGGGGGGAAGGACGCCTGCCAGGTGAGGGGTCATCTGAGGGTACCTGAGGTCACCTGAGGTTGACATAATTTCAAAATAAAACCGGAAACTAAACACACAAAACCAAGAAGGTGACCCTCTGTTTCAGGGGGACTCCGGGGGTCCTCTGGTCTGCGAGGGCCGGATCTACGGCCTGGTGTCCTGGGGCTACGGCTGTGCGGACGCTCAGTACCCCGGAGTCTACACGGCCGTGTCCAAGTTCCGCCGCTGGATAGACAACACCATCTTCAGCTACTACAGCCGCTGCACCAGCGAGTAGACACAGCCGCTGCACCAGCGAGTAGACACAGCCCACTGACATCTAGATCTCCCATTGTACTGTTCTTAGGCATATATTATGAGTCTCAGATATATAAATATAAATAAGGACATGTCTCTGAAGTGTCCTGCTCCAAACCACAAACAGATCCTTCTCCCCCCACCCCTCTCTTCCAGCTGTTACTAAGGACATGTCTCTGAAGTGTCCTGCTCCAAACCCCAAACAGATCCTTGTAGCCCCCCCCCTCTCTTCCAGCTGTTCCTAAAGAGCTGACTCTGGGTCAGTAGCTTCAGAGAGAGAGTAGATCTCATCAGGAGAACTCTCCCAGCAGAAACTCAGCTAAATGCTGCCGTGATGAAACTCCACATCATGTTCCAAACCACATCAAGGATCCTCTCTGAAACAGGATGGAGCTCAAACTCTCTCTCTCTCTCAGGTTTACCACAAGGTGACTTCCTTTTGATTTCCTGCTTCTTCACACAGACTCTCTCCAGTACAGGTTAGCTCTGAGTGTTAGCATGCTAATGTAAACACAGAGCATATTACTTCAGAACACGTCTCATTGTTTCTGACAGCAACGTTTCTGATTGGCCCGTGGGTTTAAAGCCCGCCCACATGTTAGTAATGTGGTCATGACGCAGCAAATCTGGATCAGCTCCGTTGTTCCCCCGTTTTTAGAGATGTGGGTACGGAGGAAAAGAGAGAGGGGTTTCTCCCGACACACCGGGGACACATATTTATGTAGAAAAGACATCAAAAAGTGCATTTTGCATGATAGGAGACCTTTCATGTCCAAAATGGTAAAAAGTCAAATCTGTCAAATATGTATTTTTGTTTCCTGTGTTTGTCCAGGACTCCTGGGTCTGCCTGGAGGTCCTGGAGTTAAGGGCCAGAGAGGACAGGATGGGGCTCCTGGTGTCCCCGGCCCTCAGGGGCCCACGTCTACCCGCTGTGAGGCAGGAACACCTGGGCCAGTGGGCCTCTTTGGCCCTCAGGGACCCATAGGACCCCCAGGTAAACTCTGCATACTGAATATGGGGCATTACATTACATTTCATTTGGCAGACGCTTTTATCCAAAATCGACTTACAATAAGTGCATTCAACCAGGAGGGCACAGAGTAACAAGAGTCATGGAGGTACATTAGTTTGAACTAAGCCAATCCATTCGAAGCGCTAGTACATTATTCCGATCTGTATAGAGCTTTCATTGGCCGAGGTGCAGTCGCATGCAGTGTCCTTAGACATCGACGCTCACTGATTGATTTGTAGCTGACTTCCTGTCCATTAACCAATGACAACATTTGACTACAGTATGAGGGACTGTACACAGAGGATTGTGGGGTTGAATGTGTGTTCAATAAAACCTCTTGAAAATGGTGTTGGAATAAGAACATTTGTAAATTGTCTTGTGAACATTTTCTGGGAATAGCTGTGTATTCTGTTCGCTGCGAGTTGGATTATCATAAAATGATTCATTAATTGGTTCGGGCACCTAGTTAGGATGCCACCTAGTTAGGATGCCACCTAGTTAGGATGCCACCTGGGCGCCTCCCTAGGGAGGTGTTCCAGGCACGTCCAGCTGGGAGGACGTGGGACCCCCCAGTCAGAGCTGGTTGATGAGGGGAAAGGAACGTTTGGGGCTCTCTGCTGGAACTGATACCCCCGAGACCCGAGCACGGATAAGCGGGAGAAGATGGATGGACATTAATTAATTCACTTGATTGAATTTGATTGATATAACATTAAAAGCCCGGGGGCCAAATGCGGCCCCAGCTAATTCTGAAAGTATAATGAAATATGTCCCACTAATGAAACTTGTCTTATATTGAACTTCTTAAGCATACATGTAACCATATATTACACGGTAGTATTCATGTGTTGATAAGCCCACTTTTAAAATAAATTCAGTCAATTACATTTGAAAAATGCTTCTAACAAATCTAACTTGATAAGAAAAAAGCCCAATCACTTCTTTGTATAACAAGCTTGAAATAGACCCTCCATATTTCCTCTTGTTATCATCAATCTGAAGCTTCTGTTTTAAGGAATGAGCTGCTGACAAGATCAATGAAACCCTCTGGAGAGCAGGGAGCTGTTTGTTTCTTACAGCATGTTAAAGTATCAAGAATCACTCACCTACATTTGATTCATTTTAAAACGTAACTTATGAGGCGATAAACCTCTAGTGAGCGGCCCAGCCCTTCGTATGTTTTTCTGTATGTGGCCCTCGGGGAAAACTGTTTGGCCCCCCCTGACCTAATGTGATGTATTTCTGTATTCAGGGTTTCTGGGGGAGAAAGGAGAGTTCGGGGAGGTTGGCCCCCCAGGTTTGGGCCCTCAGGGTGCTAAAGGGAAATCAGGAAGTCCAGGTCTCCCAGGTTACCCGGGACCTCAGGGACCCTCTGGCCTCAGTGGAGTCTCCGGCTTCCCGGGGCCAGATGGAGAGAAAGGTAAGGCCCCGCCCCCTAAGACACACCTGTGTTTAAAAAAAAAAAGTTTTTATAATTTCGTTTTTGGGAGAAGGGGTGGTGTCCTGGTCACTAGACGCCTTCAACAGACATGTTCAACTCGGTTTCTTTCCTTTATATTCGTGTTACTCACAGTTGAAGAGTTGCTTTGCCTCCGATGGTTTGGATGATATTGTGCAATGCTCAAAATAAAATGACAAACTTTTACACATGCAACAAAGAAAAGAGGCTTTTACCAAAGTCAAGACAAAGAGGCAAAACTCAAATAAAATAACAAACAACTTTCTTGCTTTCTTTCGATGTATAACTTGATAACTTTAACAGTATCTTAACGCTTAAAAACTGTGCCTTGATGGCGTCTTTCTGACATGTTGACCATCTCTGTCACTTTAGAGGAGGCACTGTGGGTATTGTAGTCTTTTATACTCTGTTGACTACAGACGCCATGATTAGGTGGCCTTTTTTATAAAAACTAAATACTGGCTCTAACAGGTGGGAGTGTAAACTTCTTCCCGCCCCTTTTCAGATGTGTAATTAGATCAACTGTTTATATCTCATTTGTAAGTCAATAATATTTTAGTTTATCAATTTGATACTGCTTAAGTTTGTACGGTATCATAATTCTCTTGTTTCATTTCACGATTATTATTATTTTTTGTATTATTGTTTTACACCTTCAAAATAAATCAAATCAAATAAATGTTTCCTGGCGACAGCTTCACAGAAATCCTCGCGCTGTGTTTCAGGTGTGATTGGACCCCGGGGCCAGGAAGGAGAGCTGGGGGCCCCTGGACAGACCGGGGCCCTCGGACACCCAGGGATGAAGGGAGAGAGAGGGTTAAACGGAGTAGACGGCGGTTTAGGATGCGAGGGAACCAAAGGAGAGATAGGTATATATATCTTTATTTAAGTCTCATTGAGAGTAAACATCTCTTTTTCAAGAGTTAAACCTTGTTTTATATATTTTATTCAACAAGATACATTTGAATTTGATTGTATTTTCTCCTCATAGCATTGTAAAGCACCTTGAGACAACGTTGTTTTTTTTAAGTGTGTGGTGGAAATGTATCGAGACAAACTAACAAATAATAATAAAATGGAGAGGAAACCTTTCGTTATACTGAAATGAAGATTTGTGGAATGAGACGGTCTTTTATGGAGTTTATTCTTTGAAGAAGGCAAATCGTTGCAGTGTCAAGCAGTCAAAGGAGAGAAAGGTATATATCCTTTATTTAAGTCTCATTGAGAGTGAACATCTCTTTTTCCAGAGCGACCTGGCCAAGAGGGCAGAACACAGTTACAACAAATGAACACAAAACAACACAGGCAGACGAATACAGCTGTAACACAAATGAAATGGCACATTAACACACAGTACCATGGAACCAGAGTGGGTCAAAGGTCAGCTGTTGCTTATGAAACTGATCATGCTGTCAAAGGTTAACCAACGTGTCCCCTGCAGGCTGTAAAGGGTTCCCGGGGCCTAAAGGAGAGACACACGGTGTCCCTATCAAAGGGCAGCGAGGAGAAGAAGGAGCGCCAGGATACCCCGGCTTCCCTGGACCACGAGGTAAAAGAAAACTTCCTCTACTTACTGACTGAGAGAGAACGAACTAACTCTACAGACTGAGAGAGAACAAACTAACTCTACTGACTGAGAGAGAACAAACTAACTCTACAGACTGAGAGAGAACAAACTAACTCTACTGACTGAGAGAGAACAAACTAACTCTACTGACTGAGAGAGAACGAACTAACTCTACAGACTGAGAGAGAACAAACTAACTCTACTGACTGAGAGAGAACAAACTAACTCTACAGACTGAGAGAGAGAACAAACTAACTCTACAGACTGAGAGAGAACAAACTAACTCTACAGACTGAGAGAGAACAAACTAACTCTACAGACTGAGAGAGAGAACAAACTAACTCTACAGACTGAGAGAGAACAAACTAACTCTACTGACTGAGAGAGAGAACAAACTAACTCTACAGACTGAGAGAGAACAAACTAACTCTACTGACTGAGAGAGAACAAACTAACTCTACAGACTGAGAGAGAACAAACTAACTCTACTGACTGAGAGAGAACAAACTAACTCTACAGACTGAGAGAGAACAAACTAACTCTACAGACTGAGAGAGAACAAACTAACTCTACTGACTGAGAGAGAGAACAAACTAACTCTACAGACTGAGAGAGAGAACAAACTAACTCTACTGACTGAGAGAGAACAAACTAACTCTACAGACTGAGAGAGAGAACAAACTAACTCTACTGACTGAGAGAGAACAAACTAACTCTACAGACTGAGAGAGAACAAACTAACTCTACTGACTGAGAGAGAACAAACTAACTCTACAGACTGAGAGAGAGAACAAACTAACTCTACAGACTGAGAGAGAACAAACTAACTCTACAGACTGAGAGAGAGAACAAACTAACTCTACT